CTGGAACTCTGATTCCTCTCGACTGGTCTCAGCCCTGTCAAATCCACTGCTCCAAGTCACCTCTGTGTTTCCAGCTCTACCTCCTCCATCTTTCTCAAACCCACACCCTTCTCTCCTTACCACTGGCTCCTGCCCTGACTCGGGTCCCTCTCATCTTTCCCTGGAACTCTGATTCCTCTCGACTGGTCTCAGCCCTGTCAAATCCACCCTCAGCAGCACGACCAACCACAGAGATGACCACCTTGCCACCCACTGCCCTTGGGGAACCCGCCAGGGCTCCCTTTTATCAGTAGGGTACAGCCCACAGGTGGCACACGGGCTCTGACCAGCCACTGCCTTCCCACCACCGACACACCTTTGGCTGCTCTTGGGCTGATATTTCATCTTCCAACAAGGCTGAGCCACTTGTAGCTTCTCAGCTGATCAAGTGGTTTCTCCCTCTGTGTTATATATCAAGTGAGCCACTTCCTTCCTCACAATCCAGGTCAATTCAACTCACTTCTAAAAGCTTAGTTCAGACATCAACTCCTCCAAGAGCCTCCCCTGGGGCCTCTCCCCCTCACATTTTCTACCAGGGAATTCCCCCATCATTATGTGTTCTAAATATCCACGGAGGCACTGATTGCCCTCTTTAGTTACAATCAATGTTGTCAAAATGGCCATACAACCAAAAATGCTCTACAGATTCAATGCAGTTCCCATCAAAATTCCAATGACTTTCTTCATAGAAATAGAAAAGGCTGTCATGAAATTCATTTGGAAAAGTAAGAGGCCCAAAATAGTTAAAGCAATCCTTAGTGAGAAAAGTGAAGCAGGAGGCATTACAAAACCAGACCTTAGACTGTAGTACAGAGCTACAGTAACAAAAACAGAATGGTATTGGCACCAAAATAGGCAAGAAAACCAATGGAACAGAAGAGAAGGCACAGAGATAAACCCACATAAATACAGTGACCTCACACTAGAAAAAGGTGCCAAAAATACTCACTGGAATGAAGAGAGCCTCTTCAACAAATGGGGCTAGAAAAACTGGAAATCCATTCATAACAGAAAGAAAGTTAACCCCTATCTCATCCTGCACAAAACTCAACTCTTAAGTGAATCAAAGTCCTACACATCAGATCAGAAACGCTGCGTCCACTAGAGGAAAAGGTAGGCCCAACGCTTCAACATATCGGCACAGGAACTGACTTCCTGGCAAGACTCCTAAAGCATAAGAAACAAAATCAAATGGGATGGCATCAACTAAAAAGCTTCTTCCCAGCAAAAGAAACAATCAAGAGCACGAAGAGAGAACCTACAGAATTGGAGAAAATCTTGGCCACCTACGTCTCAGATAGATGTTCATTTCCAGGATATGCATAGAATGAGGATTCTCAACAGCAGAGACTGTCTTATTTGGCATGTGACTGGCACAGAGGAGAGGTTTAAAAACTAGATGAACAAATGAGCAAATGACAGAAAAAGGGGAGGTGCTGATTGTGCCACTTCTGTGCTGGGCCTGCCGAGTGGACAGGATCTCCCCCATACCTACCGCCATCAGATGGGACCCGCTACTGCTTTGTGCTCAGGGGGCAGATGCTCCTTACTGGTCTTTCGTTTTTTGCTTCAGCCCCGGGTAGTCAGTACATGACTACCTCTGGGGGCTGTGGGAACCCGGTTATTTATCCTTTCCAATCTTCAAGTTCCCATGTGTCAAATGGACTCCCCTTCGGATGTACTGAACAGAACTGCTGTGGAACTGGAGGAGGTAAAGCCAGGTGTGTAGTCAGAACTGTGCGACTGGTTGATATAACTGAGCTGGGAAATGGATGAAGAGATGCAGGCAGGCGCAGTGACTACAGGGAGAAAAAAACGCCTGGGGACCATTGCCTCACATAGGACACCCCCAAAGGTCTTCTCTCCCTAATCCACAGCTCTGGGAAGCTCCATCCCCCGGCTTTTTCTATGCTCTGTTACAAAAGGCAGAGCTACCCGTTTTCTTATCAATCTTGCCCAGTGCACGTAGAATTGCAGCAGAACAAGAAAAATATGGGGGGAGGAAGGCTGTGTACCCAAGGCCAGGACTCGCCCCGGAGAAGTAGAGGCATGTGCCTCCTGTGCCGGGTTGGAGTGGGGAACGAAGCCTGGTTTATCATCTCGTGAAATGAAATGAGTTACAAACTCATTCCTCCCCTCCCAAATCCAAAAGTGAATCCCCAGTTTAGTAATCAGTAGATGACGGTTTGGGGATCTGAGGCTGCAGATGATCAAGTCCAGGACTGGAGGCCAGGAGTGTGCTTTCTGCTCAGCCCCATGCTGGGTCCTCTGGGCCTCGCTTGCAGATTGACAAAGTGAGTACAGAAAGAAAACACTGCACCTGAAGTGGGAAGTAGCAGAGCCAGCAGAACCAACCCCCGAAGAAGGAATGGCGAGCTGGAACCAGCTCATCCTGGCTTCCCAGAAGCAGACTGTTGGTATCTCAGAAATTTTATCAACCACATTAAACCGTCAGTCACTTGAAAGTGGCATGGTGAGAGCATTTTCTCTGGCAAAGCTGGCATGCACCACAAATCAGGGCTTCTCCCTGCCCCTCCAGAATCTGTTCATCTTTACTGCACTAAGGGGTTCCCACAATGTAAGCCTTTGAGGCAGGCTAGGGGAGTGGTTTTGCATGCAGGCTGTGGAATCACATAGACCCAGGCTGAAATCCCAGCTCCACTAGCTAGCTGTGTGATCTTAGGCAGACTACTTAACCCCTCTGAGCCTGTTTCCTCATTGTATTATGGCACCAATGCACTGAATGTATGTATGTGTATGTGCCAGGTATTGTCCCCAGCATTTATACATATTAACTCATTAATTCCTCACAACAACCTCGAAGAAGGAACTATTATTATCCCCAAGCTATAAAAGAGGAAAAGCAAGGCAAAGAGAGATCAAGGAACTCTTCCAAGATCCCACAGCTAGTAAAAGGGGGAGCTGACAGAGGGTACAAAGACAGGCAGCTGGCGCAGACTCTGCTCTCTTCTGATGCTGTCTCATGTGGTCCCAAGTCTGGCTACCTGTGGCTGTGGAGGACTCGAAAAGTGGCTGGTTGGAACTGAGATGCACTATAAGCGTGAAAACTTTGTGCAAAAAAGGAACGCGAGACACCTTACACATAGAAATTATGTAATTTAGAAGCAGGTGCCGTGGCGCACGCCTGTAATCCCAGCACTCAGGAGGCTGAGGCAGGAGGATCGATGGTTCAAAGCCAACCTCAGCAATAGCAAGGCCTTAAGCAACTCAGTGAGACCCTGTCTCTAAATAAAATACAAAATAGGGCAGGGGATGGGGCTCACTGGCTGAGTGTCCCTGAGTTCAATCCCCAGTACCACTCCCCCCCCAAAAATTATATGATTTAGGATTTTTGAGTTAAATAAAAAGTAGTATTACAGTTCATTGCGCCTGATTCTTCTTACTTTTTTTTTTTTTTTTTGGCAGGGAGAAGTATCAGAGATTCAACCCTGGGGTGGTTAATCCCTGAGCCACATCTCCAGCTCTTTATTTTTATTTTGAGACAGGGTCTCGCTAAGTTGCTAAGGGCCTCCAACTTGTGATCCTCCTGCCTCAGCCTGCTGAAATGACAGATGTGTACCACCCCGCCCAGCTTCTTCTTACTTTTAAAACATATCTACTGGAAAATTTTAAATCACACTTGAGACTTGCATTCTAAGTCTTCGGGTAAGTGCTTTTCTACCCTGACCTCACAGTTAGTTGTAGGCATTAAACCAGCAACTACAAGGCGAGACCCTTGTCTGAAACAAACGAAGCACCCCGTAGTTATTATTAATATTAGTGAGATCAGCGGTTTTCAAATGTCAGAGCTGGGATTGCAGAAGAGGAGACCTCTAGGTGTTCTCTCAGGTGGCCCCTTCACCCTGGTCACCATCTCCACAGACTTGGAACTCACCAGGGTGGGGATCTTTGGATGCTCTTGAGCTCTAGCATTCCCCCTCTGTGATTTCAGAAGTGAGGAAGACTAAATGTCCATAGCAGTGCTTTTTAAATGATCCTGGAAAATACTGCCATCTTGCTTGGAGACTCCCAAGGGGCTGGTCACAGATCTGAGCAAAGATCTGTGAAAGGGAGGTTTGCGTGAGGTTTGTCTCCCACAGGCTCGTGAGTTGGAAGCTTGGTCCCTAGTGTGGTGGTGTTAAGAGGTGATGGGATCTTTCAGAGCTGGGTCTTCCTGCAAGATAATTGGGGGGGGGGGGGGCTACTGCCCTCAGAAGTTCTCATGGGAGCAGGTTGATATTTTTAAACAGTGAGTCTGACCACCCTCTCCAAGCTTTCTAGGCTTTCTGTCTCAGCTCTGATCCCTTTCACATGCATTCCTACTATTGTGATGCCAAGTGACATGAGGTCCTCACCAGAGCTGAGAAGCTGGCACCACAACCTTGGACCTCCAGAACCATGAGCTAAATAAACCTCTTTTATTTACAAAGTATCCAGCCTCTGGTACTTTGTTATAACAACAGAAAAGAGCCTAATACAAACATCATGGATGTGACCTGTGTGGGGGGGTCCACTCTGGGCTTCTGGCTTTTGACCTACACAGGATCGCACATGTAGCACTTTTGTATGTCACCTCTCCACTTCTGCTCCCTCACAATCTGCCAACTCCTCACCCACTCAGAACCTGGGAAGGCCCTAGGCCCCCAGGTCCGGGGATGACAGATGGTGACATCGGACCAAGTGCTACAATGATTTTGCTGTCCTGAAGGCAATTCCCGGCTCCACCAGGCCCAGTGTCTGCCAGGCAGCCGCTCAACTCTTCCTCCAGCCCGCGCCCCTGGCTCTGATGTAGTATGTGTGGACGGACAGGGAGGGCAGCCAAGTCTTCGCCGGGCTCTCTAACAAGTTCCGCGGGTCTGTTTGTTAAAGAAAAATTCCAGTGGGTGCATCCAACACATGGAACTCAAGTACAGAAATTATATTTATCCACCCCACTGCCAAGGAGATCACATGCCCCGTGAGTCACTCCAGATGTGCTCAAAAACAGAGACTCTGTGTGGAAGCCCAGTCCCCAATCCCAGGGAGAGTCGGATTAAGAGAGGTGCCGACTCCGTCCCACCCAGGAGGCAGTGGCTGGCCTCCACCCTGCGGAGGCGCGCAGAGGGCATTTCTTCCCTCCTGGAAAGGGAAGGGAGGCAAGAATTCTACCTACGTCTCCCTGGGAGGAACTCTAGGTCCACCTGTAGCCACTGGGATCCCACCTGGGCTGAGGGTCCATTCTTCACCTTTTGGGAGGAAAAGATGGATTGGAAGGCACTGGTGCTCCTGCTGCTATATTCCCATGCTCAGGCTACGGTGTCGCACAGGTGGAGCAGGGGTGAGTTGCTTTTGATTCATTGGTTGGTTGGACGCTCATTCTTCTTTCTTAAAAATGATTAGAGGCTGGGGCTGGGGCTCAGGGGTAGAGAGCTCACCTAGCAGGTGTGAGGCACTGGGTTCGACCCTCAGCACCACATACAAATAAAATAAAGATATTGTGTCCACCTACAACTAAAAAATAAATATTTCTTTTAAAAAGTGATCAGGCACTCGGAGGGCAGTGAGCAGAGGGAGGGGAATTAGAAGCCCCTGCCCTCTTTTTGCCTCATCTCTACCAGTACACCTTGGTGGGACCTCCTTGTCAGGAGATGGTGGGAAATGACACCGGGAATCATGGGAGCTGCTGATTTGGGAACTTGGTCAAGGTAGAGAACGTAGAGGGCATCCCTCTGTGGGGCCAAGAGACAGCTGGGCTCTGCGGCCTGGTGTGCGACAGGCTCCCTCTATTTCCCACCAGCTGTGCGGCTGTGGCAGAGCCTCTGGAGAGCAGGTATCAAGGTCTTCTGCCTACATAATGGAGTCACAGGCGCTGGGGTTCAGGAGGCCTGCTCCCTGGGTGGCCTGGACAGGGGACTCTCAGCCTGGGTGGCCAGTAGGGAGGTCTCCATGCTGCCCCCAACCAGAAGTGGATGCATCTTTGCGGCCGGGTCAAGCTGGCCAGCGGCAGTGAGGAAAGACCCTCTTGGGCACCCAGAGTGCTTGGCCACTCCCACTGGAGTGGCAGGGCCACCAGGGGAAGAAGAGACCCCTGCAAAGGCTTTTGTCTCGTGGCTGAATTCCTCTCCCTCAGGATGTCACTCCCCAGAGCTGGGATGGCCTCTGTGTCCTGGGACTGGCTCCGGCTCGCAGTGCTGAAGTAGTCAGGGGTCATCAGTTAGGCGAGGAGGGATCGAGAGTGCCACCCACCCTGCGCCAATAGAACTGAAATCTTTCCACTGCCTGAAGTCAACTGAGTTCATGTTCCCAGAAAGAACTGGAAGAAGAACCGGGTGTCCTGAGGTCAGATGGTACCGGCATCTAGAGACCCCAGTCGGAGGAAGGCTGGGGTGGTGACCTGGGATGCAGACCTGCTTCCCAAGGACAGGACCAGGGAAGGAAGGAGTGTGGGAACAGCATCGTGGAGGGGAAGGAAGACTGTGAAATGGAGGGGTGGGGGCAGCAGAGCCAGGCGCTTACGCTGGATTTTATTTCTTCCTGTGGAAGCCAGACACTGGGAACCTCCCAGTCCTCTGAGCTGAACAAACCACTGCTGCCCAGGGCAAAGAACACCCATTTCCCTCTCCTTTTCCTGACAACCTCTTTCACGCGCATGCCACACACGTACACATGCAGACACACCCCTCCCTTCTCAAGGTATGCACAGACTTCAGGCAGCAATGGAAGCAGAGAGCAGAGACTTCCAGAACTTGGGTTCTGCCACCTACCCCTGGGTCACACTGGGGGCACAGCTTCCTTTACCTATTAAAAAGGGATCATAATATCTCCTCTTCCTAAAGCCTAGCCCATTAGAAAGTCAAAGGAGCCAGGCACAGTGAGTGGTGCACGCCTGTAATCCCAGGGACCCGGGAGGCTGAGGCAAGAGGATGGAACATTCAAGGCCAGCCTGGGCAACTTAGTGAGGCCCTGAGTAACTTAGGGAGATCTTGTCTTAAAATTAAAAAAAAAAAAAAAAAAGAGTGAGTTGTGGGGGAGGAGCTGAGGGGCAGAGTGCCTGTATGCATGGGTGGTGGTTTCAATCCCCAGCACTGCAAAAAAAAGAAAAAGAAGAAAGAAAGAACAACAAAAAAAGCACAATGAGATGATTTTACCTGTAATACAGCTTATAAACCCTCTAGCTACTTTAGGAGCTACCCTGTAAGGATAATTAATTGATTATTTATTAAGGGTAACTAATTAATTGGCTGTGTGGTTGCTGGCAAGCCTCTTAACCTGTCTGAGCTGTAGTCACTAACAGATAACAAAACTTACCCTCATGGGGAGTGGTTACGACCCTCATGAAGGTCATATTCAAAAATATAAATGAAAATGCTTTGTAACCAATGAAGCACTATATAAATGCTAGTCACTACCTACAATTTTAAAAAAAATGATAATTTTTCGTTAACATTGAAGGCTCTCAACAGAGTCTGATAACATCCTGGGAGCAATCTGCCCTCACCAGAGCAGATCCATCCCCACCAGGGCCACGGTCTATATAAACTTGGGAGGCAACAAAACTGACAGGGAGGTTGTCATGAGGCAGCAGATGTGAGGGCTGGAGCCGGGGCTCTACTCTGGGTTCAGAGCCAGCGAGTTCTCACCCCACTCACCCCACCCCAAGTCTCACCCCAAGTCTTCCACGTGGCTGATTTTTTTAAATGTTTAATATTTTTTCTAATTACAAAAGGAATACACAATGCTTGTCAACTTTTTAAGATGAATGAGGGTCACACCCAAGTAAATGACAATTTTTCCGAATGCGTGTTCCCTTCATCTTCACCCTTATCCCCCAGCCCCCGCCTCCAGCCCTGGCTCGGATGAATTCCCCCTGGAAAGAGTGCGAGGGCACCCTCTCCCTAGAAGGCCCCCTCTTCCATCTCCCTGTCCCCCACCCTCCCACCCTGTGGCCCCACACGTGGAAATGGAGAATACACCCAAAGGGAGCCGGGTGCTGGCCCACACCCTTCCCACCACGAGCCCAGCCTCTCCCTAAGAAACGCTCTCTAGGATTCCACCCTGGAAGGTGTTTCCACGCCAGGATCCAGGATTGCCCGCTCCGGTCCTCCAGCTTAAGACCAAGTGATTCACCTGTGGTCAGCACGACCAATCCAGGGACATAGGACACACACAGCCCCTGTCCTAGCATACCCCAGGTCCCGCCAGAGCAGCACTGAGGGGGTGGACCCTCCAGGCTTTTAAAAAATATGTATCTATTAATTGATAGAAACATCCATGCTGTTAAACACACGTGCGTTACTGTTTAAGAAGCAGTTTAGCCAGGCGCGGTGGTGCACACCTGGAATCGCAGCGGGTAGGGAGGCTGAGACAGGAGGATTGTGAGTTCAAAGCCAGCCTCAGCAAAGCAACTCAGTGAGACCCTGTCTCTTAATAAAATACAAAATAGGGCTGGGGATGTGGTTCAGTGGTCAAGTGGCCCCGAGCTCAATCCCCGATACCAAGAAAAAAAAATAGCAGTTTAGTTGGGGAAGGCTGGGACACTGCTTAATTGGTGGAATCCGGTGGCTCCTTTTCAGATGTGCACTTAGAGTTGTGCGGGTTCAGGTCATGAAGGCTCTGGGGGGCGGGGCCTGAGGTCGGGGCTCCGTGAGTGTTGGTAATAGACTGGTTGCACCTGCCCCTGGGTGTGCCACACAAAGCCACCTCAGTATCTCCAGGAGGTAGGTGCAAGTGTGACCATTTATAGGTGACAAAACCAAGGGAGAGGCAAGAAGGGAGGCGCTCAGGTCACCCTGCTGCAAGGGGAGGGAGGGATCTGACCTGTGTCTCTCTGGCAAGGTCTCCCTGTCCTGGCTCGCCCCCTCTCCATCATCTCTCCACCGCCCCTGAGGGGTGGAGTGTCCCAGCCAAGGTGGCTACTCTCCGAAGCCCACTGAGGACCCCAGCACACGAGGAGAGACCCCACTACCTCTGAGCAGCGCTGTGTTTCCAAAGGGCTGGCCCAGAGCCACAAAGTGAATGACATCAGTAGAATCTGGCAAAAGATCTTTCACAAGGAGAGCCTTTCCTTTCCACACCCTTAGAGTTGCTTTGACTGATTCATTAAAACCACAGTGGGATTTTGGCTTGGTGTGGTCTGGAGTCTGGATCCTGTCCGGCAAGCTCTCTGGTGCCAGTGCACAGTTACGTGAACAGGGGCGTCCTTGACATCTTCTGCCGTAGTGACCATACTGCAGGGCTGGGAGCAGGGAGAAGGAGATGTTTAGACTGTGAAAGGTCGAAGAGAAGGTCAGACTGCAAAGCCAGGCAGGCTGCTCTACTTCAGGGGCCCGTGGCTGCCTGTCCAGGCGAGGAAGTCTGCAGGGATACGGCCTGGGGAGAGAGCAACCACTGAGATAAAGTAAAAGTAGCTCCTTCCAGGCCAGAAGGAGGGCTCCTCTAGGTAAAGGAAGGATGTGGGGGAGACAGAAGTCGACATGTACTTTCTGGTCTTTAGCCAGGACCTGGAACTGCAGATAGACTCAAGAAGCACCCTGTTAGAAAGAGGAAGGTTTTGTAAAACACTCTGATTGGAAAGAGGCAAGTTGCGAGGCAGGGGTAGCAATGTGTTGCTATGTGGTTGTTCATTCATTCATCAAGGGGTACCGAGCACTGTGCTAGGCACTGGGAATACAGCAGTGAAGGGAACTGACAAAATCCTATACCCTCGTGCAGCCCTCAATCCAGGGAGGGGACACAGAAAATGAACACATAAGTGACATCTATGATATGTTGGGTGGGAACAAGGTAGGGACCAAGGTTGGAGCAAATGGAGGGTATGGTAGTCACAGAGGGCCTCACTGACAGAGCAAAAGACCCGAGAGGACAGGGAGGGAGTCCTGCAGTCCAGGGAAGAATAATCCAGAAAGAAGGAACATAAACGCAAAGGCCCTGTGGCAGAAGTTTGCTTGGTGTGCTCAGAAACACACAGGAACAAAGGGGTTGTGAGGAGGCATGTGGCAGAGCGGTGTGAGCCAGGGGAGCAAGGAGTCCTATCAGGCAGCTCCTGCTGGCCTTTGAAGGTCTTTGGGTCAGAGAGACATGGGAAGGCAGAGAGGGTTCTGGGTGGAGGAGCCACATGGTCAGACCTGCGTTTCTGCGGACTCACTTGGGCTGCTGCGTTAAGAGTAGAACCGAGGCAGGGTCACTGCCGTTAAGGGGAGATGCTCATAGCCAGGACCAGGCGGCTGCAGAGGAGGTGGCAAGAAGTCGTCACATTCCCGATAATTTCTGAAGATACAGCCAACAAGATTTGCTGACTGGCTGGATGCGGGATGTCAAAGAAAGTCCAAGATGAAGGTTGAATGACAGAGAGAGGTGGGGAAAGGCTGGCGATGGGGCAGACGTGTGCGCATGTTGGGGGTGACGGGAAGGAGAAGCAGCTACCACACATCCAAAAAGGAGATTCCAGTAGGAAATAGAGGAGTCTGGCCTGGAAACCAGGACAGCTGGAAGGTAGCACAGAAGTGAGTGTGGCTAGAAGAGGAAGGGAGCCCAGAGCACGGGGAACAAGCAGACTGGGGAGAAAAAGGGCGGCCATGGAGCAGGGATTTTTTTTTTTTTAATTATGATGGAAGACATAGCAACGTGTTTCATGCTATTGTGAAAGATCCAGTAAAGAGGAGAGAATCCATGATGTAGGAAAGAAAAGGCTGCTATGCCGGAGGGACGTCCTCCTCGAGACTTCCTGCACACAAGGAAATTTGGGCTGTAGATGGGAGCGTGAGAGGAGAGCAGAAGAGAAGTTGGAGTATAAACAGAGGGCAGGCAACCAGCTTCAGGAGGGAATGGAACAGTCACTGGAGAAAGGCAAGATGACAGGAATCGAAATGTGATGGCACTTTCAGGCCCATGTGGAATGAGGGACAGTGAGTTTAAAGTAAGGCCATTTAAGGCGGTCGTGTTTTTCTCCAGCCTCACGCAGGTGCGCGGATGCAGGTGTGGAGCAGGTAGGGTTGGGTTGTGCAAAGGAACGAGTGATTGCACAAGTGTCAAGTGATTTCGAAGGAACGAGAAGGGAACAAAGGAGCGAGCCCAGGGGCCATGCTGATTTAGCCTGGTATATGACTTTTTAATGTACATGCCTTAAAGAACGTGTTTTATACCAAATGCATTCATTCATTCGTTCATTTACTCCTTCATGATTAACTACCTGATCCTCCCTGAAGTCATTCAGAACTGAAGAATGTCCGGTGTTTGGACAGATGTATCCACAAAAAGAGAGCATTGTTCACCGTATCAGTGAGACTGGGTTTCAGAGTCCGGAAGATCTTGATCTTTAGTCTTATCTCAAACAAATTGGGTGGCCCAGGACAATTTCCTTAACCATCCAGTTCCTTCATCTAGAAAATGGGAAGTTAATGCTTACCTTTCAAGTCTGGAAAGCACAGAGCTCACGGCGGGGCACACAGTGGTTGCCCCCGAACTGTTATTATTTCTGAGCCTCACATTTCAACAGCTCTAGAATGAGGCCCAACAGTGTCCCTCAACAGGGGACATGGGTGGGACCTTCCATAACACATGAATCATGACTCTCCAGATCAGGTTCCTGGAGTAGCTTAGTCCACGTGGCAGGACCTTTGGTGAGTGAATCACTTGTTCCCTGCGGGTTGGTCCGATATATCACAGATGCTCGTTGTCTGGGGAACTGGGGAGGAGAGGAGGAGCTCTCAGCTCCCTGCCCCAGGGGCAGTATGTGCAGCAGACTTTCACTCAAGGAGACTAGTGAGGCCCAGCTGTGCCCAGAACAGACACTGAGCAGTCCGCATAGGCACGTTCACATTCCAAAGAAATACCTAGAGAACAGGCTGGGTGTGGGGGTTGAGTAAAGAAGAGAGAAAATGATGAATGGTCCCAGTTTAACACCCAACGAAAGGTACCCAAAGCCAATGATTGACAAGTCTCTTGTCTGAGGCTCTGTGGTCCCAGGGATGGCGGGGTACCCTCCTGCCAGTCTCTGGTCTCCCCACTCCGCTCCCCCCTTCTCTCCCTTCTCTCTCAGGGAAGGTGCCATTGCTAATGGCCACCCAGTGAAGAGCACTAAGGGCTCCCTGCTTGCTGAGACTGCACTATTACACCAAGCAATTCACCCTAATGGCTCGCAGGGAGCAGGGAGCTGAACTTACGGTGACCTCCATAAGTTTGGGGGATGGGACAGAAGGAAAAGGGAAGAAAATCAGCACAACCTGAATACTCCCCAGGGCTGTTGTTTTATTTTGTTTAATACCTAGTTTATTTTTTTAATCATTCCAAAATATATATTGGGCCTGCAATTATGCAGGTTTCAAGGTCATACGGAGAAAACATAAAATACATTCCCTCCCTCTAGGACCCAGCAGTGCTGATGACACTTCCTAGGGGTTATCCATCAGGGTGGGAAGTGTGCAGAATAGATGATACCAGCAGCCTCAGGAGACAGAGAAGGAAACCAGTGAGTGGCTGGGTGTTCGAGAGAGAGGCTTCCAAGGGAAGTGGGGTCCTTCTTCTAATGATGTGGAAGCAGATCTAGCCTCAAGATTTGCACGTATGTATACATGTGTGGAGCTGGCCTGCCCCTCTTTTGGCCATTAACACTTCTGTCAGGATCCAGCCTTTATCATTATGGACAAGAACGTCTAGGAATAGTGTACATCTAACTTGTACCTCTATGTTTTGACATGGCCTGGAGAGAGCTATTTCTCGCCCACCACCTCCAGCATTAGCAGCTCAAGAGAATATATCCTCTCCAGGTCTCGACTGGAGAGTCAGACTCTGGCCACTGCTCAGCCTCATAGCCCTCCTGCAGCCGAAGAGGACATAAATGTCCCCCACCTCTGTCCAAAGTACACAGTCAAGGCAACTACAGAAATATGGGGGGCAGTACTTCTAGGGGATGGGACAGATGCAGGAAGAGAGAAGGGAGAAAGGGACCCAGTTTAAAGACTCCAGTGCTCCCCACATCTACTTCCTCCAGCAGTCCTGGTTCCCCCAGGCTAGAGGACTGAGGCTGATTCCAACAATTTCCCCCAAACGGTTATTGTGAGGTATAAGAACAAGGGCTGTCGGAAATGACCAAGTATCCATTATTAAGCTTGGTTTTGAATCAGGAAGTATTTTCTTCTCAATCTTGAAAACCAGGGATCCACCTGGGGTGAGCACGTGAAAATTGCTGTTCACAGGGAAACAAGAAAGCCCAGGTTTAAGATGGCAATAACCTCCCCAGAGGTGACCACAGAGAGCCTCTCATTTGGAGCAGAGAGAGCTCCATGTCCATGACATTCCCTCCCTGCCCCTTCTTTTGCTGGGGGATGAATTTTTTTTTTTTTAAGGAAAAAGTACTTTTGCCAGGTGCGGTGGCACATGCCTATAATCCCAGTGGCTTGGGAGGCTGAGGCAAGGATCATGAGTTCAAAGCCAGCCTCAGCAAAAGCAAGGCACTAAGCAACTCAGTGAGAACCTGTCTCTAAATAAAATACAAAATAGGGCTGGGGTTGTGGGTTCAATCCCCAGTACCCCACCCCCACCCATCACAAAAAAAAGAAAGAAAAAAAGAAAAGAAAAAGAAAAAGTACCTTTAATTTTGCAACAAGAAAGAAATTCTAGGAAGAGAATTAAAGACATGAAGTTGCTCTGGAATCCTATCCTGAAGAAGGGGTTCACTTGATCCAGGACCCGGTATCCTTGTATCATATTCTATCAAGAGAAATCAGAGGCAAATCTTCGCTCATGTTGCCCTCAACTCATTACTTCAGGCTCTGATAGGGACACGGAGACGTGAAGCCATCTATCCCAGCCCTTGGGAAACTTGTAGTATCCATCATAAGTGAGTTACTGAGAAGACAATATTTCATCAGTTCTGCATCCTATGAGCTTCTTTTGAGAAGCAGGGGATTCCTAAGTGAGTTTTTCAGGTAATTCTCTGTCAGCTGAAGATGTTTCCATTTCTATTACCTCTGATGGGAATCTTTCTAAACTGCTTCACACAACACCTGCCTTCTTTAGCACAATTTGACCTCTTCTCCATGGCTGAAGGGCACCATTATCAACTAGCAGGTCTGTTATGGCTGGTTACGCAAAGTAAGCTTGCCCAACTCCAGGGGGTGCCGCTCATGTTGTAATCTGGTTTTTACAGTTCTTTCTCCAGTTTTCTGGTAGATGACAATCAAGTGCCTTGAAGAAGAGGCACCTTTTCCTATCTGTTGGCAGCGGGTTTACCACTGTGACAGGTGCAAAGAGGGGCTGAACAGAGGCAGGGGCTGTTTGCTCCTAGTCTGATGTGACCCTGGAAAACAGCTGCCTGTGACGATCTTCCTGCACTCTGTAACAGCCTTCTCTTTCCCTTGTCCTCAGTCAGTTCCCAGTTCTCCCTATCCTTTGTTCCTCTAAGCGCTACACTTCTAAATGCAACCACTGGGGAACAAGGTGAAGTCACAGACTCCATGCTAAATGCGTTGCTAAATCTCATGGCTCTTAGGGGAAACCCTGAGCTGACCACAAAATCCCCTAGAGCCAGGTACTGGGGTCTTGTGGCAGCTCTCTTCCTTTGTTACTTGGGTTCAAATTTTTGGCAGCTGTTCTGCAGATGGCTAGGGTGAGCAGAAGTCTGATTCTCTGATTGACAGCATGGTGAAAAACTATAATCCAGTACTCCATACTGATAAAAAAAAAAAAAAAGTGCTCAGTTGTGTGTTTATTAGAAAACAATATCTGGGGGAACTCACTTGCTGAACTTAAGGGTTTTCGTTTGCTGGCTCCCATCTGTTTTGATTTATTTTTGCTGTGTTTTAATATGAGGTCTCTAGCACAAACGTACCCCTATGCCTATATATTTTTCAACACTTTCTTGGATGGTTCTGATGAGCACCCAGGTTTGAAGATGCTGCCCTGACGTGCCCGGGAGCTTTCTGAGACACACCAGGGGAGTCCATCACCTCTCCCCAGGCTAGGTCAAGATGCACAGGCTACCTTCATGGTTGAGTGGAGGGCGGTGGTCTGTGTGCACAGCAACCCACAAGCTTACTCTGTTGGTTCTTTTAGCAAAGCTCTTCCCTGCTGCTCATCGGCCAAAGAGGTCGTCATCCATGCCATTGAACCCAGTCCTGCAGACCTCCCTGGAGGAAGTGGAGCTGCTCTACCAGGTAGGCAGAGGAAAAGGGGTCAAGCCAAGCTCTTTCCACAGCTGCCTCCCAAGTGACTGTGTGTGATAGTGACAAGAGCTGTGTCCTCAACCATGCCTGGCTTCATGCCTTTCCACAATCCATGTATCTCACCAGTTCCTGCTGGCTGAACTTGAGATCAGCCCTTCTTTATCTTTTTTTTTTTTTTTTGAAAAGAAGAGATGACCCGTCTGAGTCCCTGAATGGTGAGCTGCAGTAGGGAATGGCCTAGACCCATTTGTGGAGGTCATAGAATCCTGCCCATCCCAAAGGAAGGAATTGCTCACACCTCGTCTCATTCCCCATGAGCCTGAACAGGGAATGACAGAATTAGCAGTTCAGCCCAGGCAAACTCGAGATTAGATTTGTCCCACAGGTGCCACTGCCCACACTCAGACACCAGAGTGTGGACGATTCCCAAGCAAAGGTTTGGAGGCCGACTCATCCATAGTGTCCAGGCAAGGCCACGCTGGGATCTGGGTGCAGACCCTAAGGCCGTAGACCCTGTCTGCTGGAACAGCATTGCTGTCTGGCTGCCCTGCTAGTCCACGGAGGTTTCCAGAAGCCTGAAAGGGTCTCTTCTTCTGCCACTCACACCTGCCCCACTGAGATCCTACTCCTCCAAACTACAGAGCAGATTTCCTGAGGGCTCTTGGTTCGGGTCAGTGTGACCTTGCATAAGCCACCGGTTCTCTCTAAGCCTAAATCTCCTCAAGTGTTATATGAAAAAGTTCAATTATGGCTCCCAAAATTCCCCTCCAGCTTTTATATCCTGTGACTGTGTATCAAAACAGTCTGGTTAGGAAAGAGACTGCCTGCAGCAGCCACACAACACAGTGGAGCCAGGGAGATTTCAAACCCTGTCTTGGGGAACAGTCTGGCGAGGCTTGAATTTGGGAGTCACAGAACAGAGCCAAGCTTTAGAACGATAACAGACGGTGTTGGGGAGACGGAAACAGAGAGCAGACTGGAGACGTGGAGTCATCTATCCAGGTATTTATCAGGCTCCTCCTGTGTGCCTGGTGCTGGGTAGCGACAAGGATGGCAGACCCAGACCCTATTCTTACAAGCTGATAAGAGTCGAAGACAAACCTCTGTATCCCACTGAGTTCCCAGCACAGTTCTCTGCATCCTTTGAATCTCAAATTCTGCTTAAAAATTATCAAAAATAATTTATGCTTTAGAAAATTCTTTGTGGGTGAGAGGGAAGAAGGGACTGATCTGGGACACTAGAAACAATAATTGGTCACTTAAATAGTGGCCATGGACCAGGCACTGTCATACTTGTCCATATTTGTCTTATGTACCTCTCATGATATTCCCATATCCCAGTATCCCTCCTTTTGAGGAGAAGGAAAGTAAGGCCCAGAGAAGTGAGGCAATTTGTCCAAGGTCACGTAGCAAGTTTAAAGATCAGAAGTGAAGCCCAGGTCTCTTAGATCCAAAGCTCTTTCCACAGCTGCCTCCCTAAGTGACCATGTGTGATAGTGACAATTGCCGTGTCCTCAACCACGCCTGGCTTCATGTCTTTCCACATTCCATGTATCTCACCAGTTCCTGCTGGCCGAACTTGAGATCAGCCCTGACCTGGACATCTCCATCAAGGATGAGGAGCTGGCCTCCTTGAGGAAAGCCTTGAACTTCCACACCATCTGTAATGATGTGATCCCCAAACGCATCCCAGACATCCGCCGGCTGAGTGCCAGCCTGTCCAGCTACCCTGGCATCCTCAAAAAAGAAGACTTTGAAAGGACACTGCTGACCCTCGCCTACACAGCCTACCGCACGGCCCTGTCCCAAGGGTATCAGAAGGACATCTGGGCCCAGTCCCTCCTTAGCCTCTTCCAGGCCCTGAGGCATGACTTGATGCGATCCTCAGGCCCTGGAGTGTCTCCCTGAGAGGCTGGCCCACATCAGGACCTCGAAACAGGGACCAGCACACACAGCAATCCAGAAAGTTCACTCTCTACTCCATGTACCATCAACAGAGAGTGGCAGAGATAGACTAAGAGTAACTCCATGCTCTTCTGCTCTTGGTGCTTCCTGATACACACCCCCGATTGGTGTCATAATGTGACCTGGGCAGAAAGAAAGGACTAAAGGGGTATTCAAGATACCTCCAGATGCAGGATGATTTGCCAGGTGATGCACAGAAGTCCAAGATGTGCTTTGACCAGAGAAGTTGCCACACACACACACACACACACACACACACACCCTTGAGTGAGGATACAGTAGAGAAGACATCATAGTTTTAGGCATGGCTTGAAGACGGGAAACAGATTCCTTTGGTGCTAAGGGACCAGGGTGCCAGACGAAGGGGGTAGGGGAAGGGGACCTGTTTCCTAAGGTTCTACAGTAAATGTCAAAGAGGTAGATCCATACCCTAATAAATATGTGGTCAGTCCAGGATGTATGGGACTTTTCCAAAAGCCATCAAGAAGAATCAGCTAGAAAATCAGTCACTGTAAGACCTCTATGTGTCTTTGCTGAAGGTCAGTCTACTACAGAGGAGACACAGGAAGGGGGCTCTGAGAAATGGGGCCATCCCATTCATATCCTGTCTTTTGAACAAAGAGACTAAGCTAATGCAAAGAGGTCCTCCGAACGCCAGAGATGGCACCAACACCCAGGCCTATCTGTAATTGCTAAGCCTCATCAAATAATTAAGTGCTGCAAATAAAAGTGATTTTCAGTTGGCAGAATTTTACCCGTTCAAATGCCAAAATTTTCATTTTAAAAATATTGACTTGGTATCTATTTGAACCCTATGTATATGGTTTAAGCTTCTATTTGGTATCTTAAGATAATCATTTGGAACATTCTAAGGAAGGAGGCGGATAAGATAATCTCTAAGTTTCCTTCTATCTATTAAATTCCTACAATCACTTGCAACCGTGAAATGCTACAGGGACGGGGTCTGGATCTGAGAGGTCTGCTGGGCTGTTGAGACCACCCCTGCAAGATCTGGGCTTTGCCCACTGTGTCCAGTTCTGAGGTTTTCGCTGCCCATCAGGCTGTTGGAGCCCACCTTCACAGTTTGTTCTTCTTTAGCTTCCATTGCCTGCAAACTGAGGTAGCCCGGCTTCTGAACTCCGTTAATGAGAGTTAACAGGTGAAGGCCTCTGCTACTAGAAAGGTACCCGTGTTCTGATACAGATTCCTCACCAGCACAGAGATCTTTCCGGCTTCTCCTCCTAGGGTTACTGCTGGGTTCCGGAGGCTAACGCTGTAAGAACTCTGATCTCTGGATGAGTTGAATTCACTGGGCTAAACTTGATTCTTTAAAGAGTATTTACTAATCACCATTTGATGATCGTGAGGTCCAGGCTTCCTCAAAATCTTTGAACAAAAGAGCTGCCTGTCAGCACTAACTGCATGGTCTTTGGAGAACTATCGAGATGCCAGAGAAGGCATTTATTGTCCAAGAAAAATACAGCTTTGCATTCTGATACTCTCAGGCTCAGAAGTTTAATAATTCTTAGCCTCTCTGTCTTTCTCACTCCCTGATTATACCACTCTTTCCTTTCCTCAAAGGCAGATTCTGATGTGTGCTTTTTTTTTCGCTTGATATTTCTCTTTCTAACATTACATGTTCTCTTTGATACAGTTTCTCTCTCTCTCTCTCTCTCTCTCTCTCTCTCTCTCTCTCTCTCTACCTCTATCTCTCTTTCTTTTCTATTCTTTCCATTCTAGTTTTTGTCTCTGTTCCTCTATATTTTGGCCCAATTCTGATTTTGTTTTTTTTTGGCCTGTACTAGAGGTTGAACCTCAGCCCTCACACATGCAAGGCAGTTGAATGAGCTACAGAGCCAGCCCTTTTTAATTTTTATTTTGAAATAGAGTCTCTCTAAATTTCCCAGGCTAGCCCCAAAACTAGCCTCCTGCCTCAACTTCCCAAGTTGCTGGGATTATAGGTGTGAGCCACCATGCCCAGCTCTGAATATTTTTCTTTGTGTTTTTTATACATCTCCATCCCTTCTGGTTGGCTTCTGCTCCATCTCTCTTTATCTGCCTTCCCATATTATCACACTCAGTGTCATTCAGTTTCCTTTGAACAGAGCAAAGGTCAATGTACAAACAGGGTTAGAATTGCCCAGGGATGGACCTCAAGCCTACCTTCACTCCCTGTACCTTCCTGGATGTGGGGTGGGAAGGAGACTGGCCCTTATTCTCAGTGCTTGGATACTGTGCAAGATGGTCAGTCTTGTATCCCACTCCGAGAGTCCACTCCCATCAAAACGGGTCTAAGAACTTTCTTGTACTCAGAATCACCAGGTGGAAAGATCCATCTGTATAGTTCCTGACTACCATGTTAAACAAAGTGGCTGCTCCCAGGAGTAAGAGATCTGTAAACAGGAGGACCCTTCCCCACTGGGAGCAATGACAGCTTATTCACTCAGCAACAAAGAATCAAAAGGCACTTTATATTCATAAATTATGACAATCAATGACTAAAAAAAACAGGGGGAAAGGGACAGGACATTTTTAAGAATAAAGACTTCATTTTCAACAACTAGATTCTTAAACACTATTTTAATCTAAGATAAATTCTTACCCACAAAATGTCTTTAAATAATGGCTTCATGACATACAAAATCATATATGCTCACCATCTCCACCCAAAAAACCCTATTTCTTGTCCAGGGAACAACAGAGAAATAAGGTGGAAACAGACTCTCCCATTTGGCCTCATGAGCATAACACTCTATAGACAATCACAATCACAGCTGGCCTGCCTTTTGTCACATTTACTCACAGAATAATTTGGGGGTGGATGTTTGCAGTGGAAATTTGCCTGTGGCTTATGGGGCATTTCTGCCATTTCTATACTGCTGGGAAGTTTTAGTGTCTAAAAACTCCGGAAGCTTCCTGTATGGATGGCATCCTGGTGGCTCTCTCTGGTCATTCAAGAGACAATGACAAACATCAACATGCTGAATCTTTCATTGCTCTGTCATTCTAACCTTGAATCTGATGATAAAATAAGTTACATAAAAGGTATGTCAAAAGGCATTTGTGTAGGTAAAACTAGTCTAAAAAATCGTAATCTTAACTGTGTTTAAGCCTCCGGTACACTAGTGTTACATCTATGTAACATTGTTTTGTGGAGGTGCTTTTTGTTGTTGTTGTTACTTTGTTTTTGTGGTGCTAGAAATCAACCCCAGGGCCTCCTGCATGCTACACAAATGTTCTACCACTCAGCTGTATCCACAGTCCTGCATATTGTGCAACAGACCTCTAGAACCATCATTTTACTTTCTTTTTTTAAGAGTCTGGCTACTTTTGATACCTCATTCAAGTGGAATCTATCTTATATGTCTTGAGCATTGGATTCTGGAAAGTGTTTTCTTTGTCTAGAAAATGGATAGAGTCCTGAAGGAGAACTACTGGTCTTACTGTGTTACTCGCCTTACCTAATTTTATTTAACAATATTCATCTATGGTATAATAAAAATGCCACAGTCAAGTTACTAAACTCTCTGGAATCTTGGTTATCTTGGATTAACTCACTAAAAGAATTTGAAGTGGTTCCTAGGTTCAGTAGTGGATATGACTTCAACAGCTGTTTACTATCCTCTGGTCTCTCTAATATTTGCAACCAAAACATCACACATATGGTCTTGTTCATTCTGAGTTTCAAAATCATTACAAAAACGAAGCCAGAATCTCGTAAATACAAGAGCCAGGTTTTAATATACATGTAAAGAGATGAGTCACCCTAGCCTGTCCTACAATGGCAAGATAACCTCAAAGATCGGGGCTATCCACAGGTGCACCTGCCTTAGAAGTCAAGAAGGACTGGATTCTTGGAGTCATTATACCTTTAGCCTGGGGATCATTTCCAACTGGTATAGCTGCAAACCTGAGAAGATGCCATTTCTCAGATACTGTGTCTTGGAGAAAACATGAGTTTCATAAGCCCAGGCTCTGCTCAGCATCTCCCAGATCAGGGTAATATTGCCAAAGACCACCACTTAGAGAAGGTTGGGGGTTTTCTCTTTTGCTTGCTTGCTTTATTTCTCCCCAACCTCTTTCCTTCCCTTCCTTCTAAATCCACACATCCTCTCTGAGAAATGAGGCTACTGCTTCTCCCCATGTGTGAGCAGGAAAAATTCCAGTCTAACTGCCACTGGTCCCTGAAGTTGTCAAGTTCTCTGCCTTCCCACCTTTCCCTGGTATAGCAGCCAAAAGGGGCCTCCTGCTTCCTTGTTGGTACAAAGCCTCAGAAAGGAGCATTTGGGCACCTACCCTAGCCAGAGACCACCAACATCAGGCTCAAAGGGACTCTGAAATAACACAGGCATCTGGACTTCTCCAGAGAGGCAGCTTCCCTCCTGCTTCTCCCAGATGCTCCAGCAGCCTTTGTTCCAGGGCCTTTTCTGGGGGCTCAGACCCTTGTATAGCCCCAGGTGCTGAAGAATCGACTGTGGCCAGCAGGGATGCCTGAAAGGCTTACTATCCTCCACTCTGGGACAAATTCCTTGCCACCCTGTCCTCTTCCTGAGGACCAGGTCAGCAAGTGGCCCTCCCAGGGAAAGCTCTATGTCCCATGCCCAGAAACATCAAAGCAGAGCTTGGGGAAGTGGAATCATGTTTACCATGATGATCGCCACTCTGGCCCCTAGGATGTTTGAGAAACGGAAAAATAAGCGTCGCCTGCTGCCTAGGTTCCGCAGACTCAGCAGGCCCCTACTGTGACCAATCAAAAACTGCCTTTGGAAGAGACACTGACTCATTCTTTTCAACCTGCTGATTGGCTTTGAAGAATGGGCGGAGCTACTACTCCATCCTGGCTTTCCATTGGTGGATGAAAGTTCAAGGTGGGCCTCCAGAGGGTTTTTGTCCTGTGACAAAAAGGAATGTCTTGGGGATTTTTACCCCCCCTGCTTTGGAGGCCCAGGCTCAGGGCCAATTATAAGTAGGAAACCAATTTGAAGGAAAGAAGTTGGAAACGAGTTAGGGTGCCAGGTCCTGGGAGAGAGCAGCAGCCCCATCTGAGGCCTGCATGGGCCTCTGACAGACTCAGGTGCTTGTTTTAAAGGGAAAGGGCTTCCAGAATTTACCAACAGCGAGCCAGCTAGGAGGTGAGAGAGGTACTCCCCCAACAGGCCATCAGAGGGAGGGGAAATGACGGAGAGCACAGTATGCTCTTAGCATTTTTATTTTTAAAAGATTTTAAATGATTCTTCAAAGCCGAACAGCAGCAAAGTGTGGGTTTAATCGCTTAAGAGGGCTTTTCCCGATGGCTAGAATGAGGTTGCTCTCTTGCTAACCACGCGGAGAGGGAACCCACTATGCCCCAGTTCCTTCTCGCTGGTCATAAAACCATGCTCATCAATCCCACCTAAGGCCAAGGCCAGGAGCCCAGCCCTCGGTGGGAAAGGGGGTAGAACAGCCCTCCTCTTCTGCCCCCAAGACCAGAGAGGACTCTTGGGAGCCAAGAAAGGTTTAAGAAGTCTTCCTGGACAGATGCCGTGCGTAGTGAGGACCAAAGGCGCTCCGGGCAGAGCAGGTCCAGGGGCGCGGAGAGGAGATAGGGCCACCATGGGCCTTCTTCAGGGCCTTCTTGGAGCAAGGAACCTGCTGTTGGTCGTCTGCGTTCCGCTGCTGCTGCTGCCTCTGCCCATCCTCCACCCCAGCAGCGTAAGTATCCACCTGTGCCTCTCCAGGGCCTGGAGTCAGTGGGAGGGCAAACAAGGGAGATGGGGAGGCAGTGGGGTGCTTATGCAGTACCCACAAGTGGGTTATTGTGGGACTGAAGGAATGGACATGATTTTCTAGAGGAGACCAAAATGACTTCTTTCTAAAAACTGTCATATTTACTCCTCCATCTCAGTGCCAGAACCCCAACCCTCTGATATTCAGCTCAGTGGGGACAGAGTGAGGGATGAGGCTGAAATGACTAATGTGTGTTGCACAAAGCTGGGGACCAGGCAATGGATCCATAAGAAGGACACACTGGTGAGCAGTTACTCATCAGGAGTCAACCTGTGACCATCTTTATGTGAGAGCAACTAGAGACACAGGGAGACCACCTGTCATGACCCAGAGAAGGATGGGGAAGGAGGGCATGGTGGAGCCTGTGTCGGATCTGTGGTCAGATCACAGGGGGCTCTGATTATCAGAATTTGAAAATCTTGGGAACTTTCCAGAAGAAAGTTTAAGTTAGAAACAGAGCTTGATGTGTTGCCCTGGTCGGTGCATATGACCCTTTTGTTATTTTTAGCCTCTGTGTTTCTCTCTCTGTGCTCTTGAAAGACAGACATAAAATGATATGAGCCCCCAAACCCTAGACTGTGACTTAATTTTTAACCAGCATTGTTTAGCAGCATCGGCTCTGCATTTGGCTGGCCTCTGGCCTCTTGCTTTCTGCCTTTCCTTCTTCCCCTCTGTTCTATCTGTGACTTTATCCCTTCCTCCAGCTGTCACCTGCCTTGAGATTTCAGGAAGAATAAGCTAAGTCAGGCTGGTTCTGATTGTTGGGGGTGGGGTGTCTCCCTCTGCACTCCTTAAGTAACTTGGTAACCAAGATTAAGTTAAAAAGTTAAATAGAGGGGATTAGGATGGTTCTTAAAAACAAGCTGGCTTATGTCTTTAGTAAAATAAATACCCCAGCATGCCAGGCAGACGCCGAGTAGCACTGGGCTGGGATTAGCAGCTGGTGATTACTGCTGACATTTTTCCTGGGCTACTTTGTCCAAATGGACCTGATTTTTTTTTTTCCTTTTCTTTTCATGGTATTTTTTTACTCAATGTCAAGTTGATTTCAGGGAATGCTAACAAGGACACATTACCCTCGTCTCCCTAGCACTTATTAGGGAGGCCTGCTTTCCTTTAAATCAACCCCTACCTTTGGGAACCTTAACCAGTGCCCACAGGAGTGACAAATTAGGGGCCCAACACTGACTACGTCTTGTACCCATCCTTCAGCTGTTGCATCAGACTTTTAGATTCTGATATTTCATGCTTAAAACTCCTGGATGAATTTGCTTGCACTGGGCTGCCATTAAGAGAAGTGGCTGGGACCTGGGCAGGAGCACCTGACCTACAGTTTTGATGGTTCTTCAGAGTGACAAGCCACCATTACACATTAGGAGGAATCAAAATGACTTTCCCCTTTTTCTTGCCCATCTCTCTAACACAGGAGTCCAGACTGTTTATCATATTACAGAAGAAGAGGGCAGTGCTGGGGTCGTGGCTCAATGGTGGAATACTTCCCCAGCATGCATAAGACCCAGGGTTCGATCCCCAGTATCAAAAAAAAAGAAAGGAGGAAGCGAGAGGGGGCATCATCACTCAGCCATTTTTCCATGTCCCTAGTAGGGTAACACTTGCACCCCAACTTCCCAAGCTAAGTTTTACAAAGGGCCCATTGGTCATTTAGGATAGCAAATGACCAGATTTCAAGCCTCGTCCAGTGAGTGGGATATCATAGGGGTGGAAAAGGGGCAGATCCAAGGCTGAGTTAGTAAGTAACAAGTTAGGGAACATTCTACATGAGAAATGTCAATTCTGAACTCTTTAAAAAAAAAAAAAAGAGCAAAATAGAATTGACAACACTGTTTCTTAAAGACATTCCCTGAAAACCCACCAACTCCCATATTCCTTCCAGCCGCTGGCACTGAAAAGGGGCCTGGGGGTCCAAAGTGTTCTCCCTAGCGAGATAAAAGAGACTTGTCAGCTAATAGAGCAGTCCAGTCCAGCCAATATTAATTGAGCCACCTGCAAGACATGGGCCAGGTGCAGGGACATCAGACTTCTAGAATGGAACTTTGCAGAGTATCTTAGGCTGTGTGAATCCAGGCTTACCAACGGCCTTTTGAGAAGACTGACAGGGGTAAAAAGGACATGGATGTAGATTCTGTGGGTGACCTAAGTGAGCAATATCTGAAAAGACCCTCTAAAGGTATTTTTAATCCATTCTTCTGCTCTAAGGAAAATCCAGATAAAAATGTTCTTAATCCTGATGGGTGAAGGTGGCTTCCTCTGGCTCCAAATCCTAATGATATTTGCAATACTATGTTTCAGACCCATCAAACTTTCAGATTCTGATATCTTATCCTTAAAACTCCTGGCTGGATTTGCTTAGACTGGGCTGGCATCAGGATCACGAGTTCAAAGCCAACCTCAGCAACTTAGTGGGGCCCTAAGCAACTCAGCTAGACCCTGTCTCTAGATAAAATGTAAAAATAGGACTGGGGATATGGTTGAGTGCTGTTGGGTTTAATCCCTGGTACCAAAAAATAGAGAGAGAGAGAGAGAGAGAGAGAGAGGTAGAAAAGCTGGAGAGTCTATCTCAGCTTGCCCAAATCCTCTAATTCAAATCAAAAGGCACATAGTTGAGAAAGTCTTCCTCTCCGCCCTTCTACTGTTGCTGCTTGCTCCTCTTCCTCTTCTTCTTCCCCCCCCCCCATCTCTCTCTGTCTTCCTCTCTCTCTCTTTTACCTCTCTCCCTTAACTTAGGGCCTATAAGGATAAGGATCAAGACTTCCCAGTAGAGGACAGACATTCTGATCCTCTATCTTCACCTGGAATTAAGACCTGTCACTTTGTCTCTTTTCCACACAAGAGATGAGAATAAGCCAGATTGAGCTCCTTTAGGTAGTTTTAGGTCTACAGGAAAGAGGATATTTCTCTAATTTGCATTCTTTACCAAATGGAGCCATTTCCCCCCCACAATGGATTCTGTTGTCTCATCAGCACTTCCAAAAGTTTTATCTTCTCTCTGATCTTTTGGCCCCAGAGGAAATCTCAGTAGGAGCTCCAGTCAACAATCCCTGGGCCCAGTTCCCATCTCCCAAGCCAACCCCAGAATCCGTGACTCTCAGGAGGGAGCGAACCTGCCCAGCCAAACCACTTAATCCCTCCCCCCACCCCTCACTGATTACAGAGAACTTTTGTAACTTTCGTGCAAAAGCTTGAAGAGCTTGTTCTCAACTCAAGGGCTCTAAAATAGAGCAAGGTTTGTCAGGTTTCTGAAACAGCAGCCAGACCCAGGGCAGGTCAGACTTGATTCCTGATGGATTAGGACAGTGTGAAAATTGAGAAATGCACTACCAACTTGGATTTTCTCTACAACGGCCCTCTGAGGCCTGCAGCCTGGTGATGTTATCATTGCCAAGATCTTGGGCAATGACCTCCCACAAGAGTAAGCCACAGCCTTCCTCTACACACTCATCAGTGCCTCTGGGACAATCAGCATTACTAGAGGCCAAGGTTAAGGAGGAGTGGGATTTGATACTTATTTACCCTGTGCACCCCGTGGTGGCACAGTGAGTGAGATGGAGGAAAGGCTGATAAATGTCCCCACCTCTCCTTCCAGCTGGATGGCCCCTCTGTGGGAGGTGGGGTCATTCTGAGCACCATCTCTGGTCGTCACACTAGGAATATGCTACGGGGGGTACTGGGTAGAAAGCAGAGATGCTGCTCAACATCTTATGTTGCACAGGACACAAAGAATATCCAGTCCCAAAGGTCATTACAGCCAATGTTGAGAAAGGTCGATTAGGAGGTCTCCATTCTCCCTGGTCCAAAATGAGAATCTGTTCTCCATTCTCCCTGGCCCACCCTGCCCTCCCTGACTGCAACCTTCAGCTCCTTAGCAACTCTTCAAAGAGCCCCTGAGGGAGGAACTCACCCGCTCCATACTAGTACACCACCAGAGAACCTGAGATCGAACACTGAAGGGGAAAATAGCCAACCAGCTCTTGCCTAACAATTTATTGGATTAAAATTTGCCCCTGAGATGGGTGTGGTGGTGCCTGCTTGTAGTCCCCGCTACTCAGAAGCTGAGGTGAAAGGATGTCTTGAGATCAGCCTGGGCAGCATACCAAGAGCCCATCCATTAAAACAAAACAAAACAACAAAAAAAAAAGTTTACTACTGAATTGACTTGTTTTGGCAAATAGACTGAAGTAGGGGGATTTAAGTTTATTCATTCATTTTTAAAGCCATGAAGCTTTTTAGTAATTTTTTAAAATTTTACATGTTATGCCAACATAAATAAATCAAATAAAAGCAGGGCCACTGGGGTTGGGTGAGGCTGGAGAAGGGGTCTGGATTCAAGTCCTTGCTGGTCCCCCGGCATGTTTCTGAGACACACTCAGGTTTCCAGCGCTACATGAACATAGTACAGAAGCCAGCTCTTGGGTGACTTCTAAATCGCACCTCCTCCTGGTCTGCTTTTCTTCAGTCAGGCACAGTCCGAGTGCCCCCACCCCCATCCCTAATCTCTTCCACCTGTGAACTCAGGATGCTGACCTCGGAGCTCACTTGGGAACATATATCGACCCCATCTTCAACTCCCCCAACAAGCTCCAGTATCTGACTAATTGACCCCAGGAGGTTAGGTCCCAGCCCAAGTAAAGTCATCAAACTCTGCCTTGACACTTGGGTCTGGATGTTAAGCCTAATATCAACCCCTGCCCTCTACGGCTTCATGAACCAGCAGAGCTGGGTGAGATTGCGACAGTCCTGTGGCTGTTGTGCTTATCACATCTGAGGCATGGGTCCCCCCAAGAAGAGCCTTCACTTCACCCATAAAGAATGGGTCTCATCACAAATCTACCACACCCACTGCCAAGTCCACCTCTGCATCTCCCAGAGCTGAATCCTCGTGCCCAGGGGGGAGTCCAGGTGCCTACTACCTTAGCCCTGGTCTCATTCAGATGCTTGATGGCAGTGACTGTCCCTGTGACTAACCACCTCTTCTTCCCCTTCCAGGAGGCTGCGTGTGCTTATGTTTTGATCGTGACCGCTGTGTACTGGGTGTCCGAGGCAGTGCCTCTTGGAGCTGCAGCCCTAGTGCCTGCCTTCCTCTACCCGTTCTTTGGAGTTCTCCGATCCAGTGAGGTTAGACCACTTGTGATCCAGCCCTCCTCGGCTTGGGTCCTACCGAGTTGGTGTGGGAGGGATCCAGGGAAAATGAGATTCATAGAGCACTTGAGGAGGGGCTTTCTCACCCCCTGGGACCACCCTGAACACTGCCTTTGCACCTGCAATTCCAGACCCGGAATTCCCCACCTTCCAGCCCATCCTTGTCTTTCAAACTGGCTCAAAACTTGCCTCTTTCAGGAAGTATACCTTGATTAGACACATCCAATTACATCTTCAATTTGAAACCTCCTAGGAACTATATGATGGGGACCTGTGAATCATCTGTGGCTCATCTTTTCCAGCCTCTTGCTGTCCATTTTTAGTAGCCACACACAAAGCAGGAATCAGCACCCCCCCACCTGTTGTATCTCTCATTCAGAAAGCTGAGCCCATAGAAAGTAGGTGTTTGATCAGTGCTTGTTGACAGAGAGGCCTACCATGATTCCCTGGGTCCCCCAAAAAGAAAAAAAAATTCTGTTTCTTCCTCCCCAACTCCAGATTACCATGTGGATTTTCTTTACCCACTCTCTGCCTAGAGTCTGCCCCTCTGTTCACTTCCTGTGGCATTCTCAAAAGTTCAAGCAGAAGTGATCAACATTAAGCTCAGGTTGTAGCCAAATGTCAGGGCAAATGTTTATGCCTAGCACAAACAAGGAAGATGGGAACCAGCCAGAAGAGGAGCAAAACAGATGCTGGCTCTCAGTCATGAACATCTGGTTCCACTTGGGCTGTCTCATCAGGGCCCCTGGTCTCTGCTTAGTGTTCCTGATGAAGAGGTGGGAATGAGGCGTGTCAGAAGCAGAGAAGGGAGAGGAGAGGGAGCGAAGGTTGGAATTGCTAAGAGAATTAGGCGACATTCTAGAAGTGCTGCATTCATTATGGCCCTCCCAGGGCCTCTACGAGGTAGATGTTAATATTTCCAATCTACATGTGAGGGAAGAGGCTCAGGGAGCTGAGAAACTTACCTCAAATCACAAAGTAGGAAGTAGCAGAACTGGATTCAAACCTATACCTATTAGATTGCAGAGTTCACTGTATCCTAAGAAAGACATTCCATAAAGCACTGTGGGACTCCGTGGTGTTATCAGTCCATGGAATTACTACCTAGAACCGTGGGCCTCTCAGTCTCTGTGGTTTGAGGAAGGATGTCTTAACCCTGGCAAACAGAACTTTCTCAAAAGTCCCAAAGGTAGAATTAGGGGAGTGCAAATGAACGCTTTGTATTTCTACTAGGTGAACTCAAGTGACCAGTTTCTGTTTGCTTTGACCTTGGGTTTCTTTTTTTCCTTTTTGGTTTTTGGTGGCATTGAGTAAACAGAGCATCAGGCTCTCTAAAAAGAATAGGATCCCCAAACTCTCAGCAGTACCTTTGTCTCTGGAGTGTACAACCTCAACATCCTGGGGACCCATCTAAAGCTAGTCCGTGACCAGCATCACCAGTGACTTCAATTTTTCTTTCTTATCTAGAATAAAGAATAGGGAAGATGGGTTTTTGTGCATACCTAAAGGAAAAATTGACCTTAACCATGACTTTTCTTAAGAGAAGTGTACAAACTTGTGCTGCAGGTTTCCATTTAAACTGAAACCAACCCTCAGGGGGGTAAGGGGAGAAAGAAGAGGGTAGAGGGCTAAAAATGAAGTTTAGAAAGAATGGAATCCCAAGTAACATTCTAATGGAATGACTGTTCATTAAGAGAATTAATCTTTGTCTTTCTCTTCAGGCAGCCCCAAAGCCACGGGTTGGCCTTGGCCTTAAAGTAGATGATGTCTTTGTTTCTCTAAGGGCTGCCCACAGTAGGAATCCCCTCCAGCAGCCCCATCAGTCTACAGCAACTTGATGTTGCTAGGCAACAGCTATCCAAGGGTCACCCCTCTACATAGTCAGGGGGCCAAAGGACAGAGTCTGTGGGGGCAGCAGTTGGCAGGGTTAACAGGACTCTGCAGAGAAAAGAAAGAGCATCTTGAGGGATTAGGTGTTGGTACGCTGAGTGCTGGAGGGGTGAGAGGGCCTGTTTTATCATTTGAGATTTAAAAAAACCTAATCCATCCATTTGATATGAATGGCTTTGACTAGCAATGATATTCAGCAATTGGGCTACAGGGAGCAGCTTAGTCCAAATATAGTCTGTTTAACTGACCTTCTTAGCTCAGATTAATGGGAAATGCCAGGAAGTTAGAGGACACGGGCTAGAGTGTTGCATGGGCCAGTTAACTGCAGACAGAGAATACCTGCTCTGCCACCAAGGCTCCTGGGGAAACGCTGTGAGTCCCCTCATCATCTGTGTGTCACGCCCTGAGTCCAGCTCATGCTTGACCAGCCCCTGCCACGACTTGGGCCATGTATCCACTTTGGCAAGTTTTCTCCAGTTTTAAAAATCCTACTCAATTACTCTCTTTGGTAAAGACTTTCCAAAGACCTCAGTGTCAATCTCTTCCTTTTGAGCCTATTTGATGTTTTTAACTTTTAGATGGTCCATATCAGACACTCAGACATAAACTTTTGATAGACATGGGCTCTCTCCAGCAAGATTCACCACCTCCCACACACCCCCAGGATTTATGATGTCTGACAGCCCATCCGCAGCCCAGAGCCAACCCACATGGCCCTAAGCTCATGGTTCTTGAGCACAGCGTTTGTTGATTGTGTGTAACTAGTGTCATCTCTACATGAAGCCATGGGAACAGGATCCGTGTGGCTCTGGGACTGTGGCTTTTGTCCCTCGTGTTATTCATTCGACATTCTGAAAAGTGCTTCCTGAGTTCTGTATCTGCCATGTGTGAAGTGGGATGGGATGGTACCCAAGAATGACAAAAATGAAGAAGAACATAATTTCTGCACTTTCCAAGCTCATTTCTGGCCCTTCTGATGTTCCCACCCTCTGAAGCTAGACATGGGCTGTAGGGTTCTTCAGAGAGACAGAACCAACAGGGAAGTAGGATAAATACTGATGTAGATAGCGCTCGAGATAGATCCGTCAGGAGGAATTGGCTTGCTCAGTTGTGGAGGTTGAGAGATCCATGACCTGCCATCTGCAAGCTGGACACCCAGGGGAACCCATGGTATCAGTGTGGGACTGAAGGCCTGAGACCCTGGGGAGCTGATGGCGTAAATCCCAGCCCAAGAGCAGATGAGACGAGATGTCCCAGCTCAAGCAGTGAAGCTGGGAAAAGGGGGCAAATCCTCCTCCCCCACCTCAGTGGACTGGATGATGCCGTCCACATTGAGGACAGACATTCCAGTCTCACCCAGAAGCACCCCTACAGTTATACCCAGAAACCACCTTTCACCTGGGCACCCCTTAGCCCATCCAAGTTGGCACGTAACTGTAACCATCACCAGTTCATAAAATGGTTACCTTTTATGGTATTAGCTTGTCACCAGCAGGAATTTAGAATCATTTGCAAAGCTTAAAGTGCTTTCTTTCAACAGAAGGTGCTGGGAGGAGATATGAAATGAAGAAAAAAAAAAAAAAAGGCTCCTGACTTTCAGAAGTTTCTATTCGAGTAGAGAAAAAAGCATAGAAAACGTGGGAAATGCAGAAGGCTCTGCAGTAGTTACACGCTCAAGTGCCCATACTTTGACTTGGCCACTTTTTGAGTACAATCTTTCTAAAGGGTTTTATAATTTCTTTTAAAAGGAAGTAGTTAAATATAAATTACCTTTTTCCTTGGAGCCTTCAAGATTTCTTGGAGGGGGTGGCCACAGATCCTCACTCAAAGGAGGCAGTGTGGGCTAGAAGGTAGCAGAGCTGAGGAGCCTGCGTGCTGAACAGATGACCTATAGAATCTTGAGTGACGTGTTGGCATCGGCTGCAGAGAGAGCTCAAAGGAAATTTGACTTGGCACATTAGAGGATTGACAGGTGGCTAAGCAGGATGGGGGTGGCTGAGGTATGGTGACAAGAGTCGATGTTGCCTGGATGATACAATCGGCTGAAACTGACAAAATGAAGTTTAATAAGGATACATGTTAGCAGTCGATGTGAAAAGGTCCTTGGCTTTTAGCTGAGTACAGGTTTACTATGAGTCATCTATCACTACAATGTCACTGCCAAAACTTTGAGCAGTTACCGTATGCCAGCCCCTATGGGTTGTCATTTACATGCACAGTATCATTTAGTCTTCTATGAAGGAGTTATTATTTTTATCTTCATTTTACAAAGGAGGAGACTGAAGTTCAGAGAGGTCAAGTATCTTACCGAGGTTACACAGCTACTAAGTTCAAGATTGTTTGACTGCAAACTTGCAGTCTTGACCCGTGGGCAATAAATACCCAAATCTCCTGTTGAATTAACAAATGATGTGACCAGATCATCAAATTCTCTTCAAAGAGCTCATCTAGAGGTGGTTGGCCAGGAGGTAAAAAATCTGGAACCTGAGTCCCTGAGGAATGAAGAGAAGATTTAGGGGGACATGATTTGTGGCTTCTATGGCTCATCACTGGGCTCAAAGTCAAAGTGCCTCATACAGAGTGCTCTCCATTCTGGATAAGGGAAAACTCTGGAATGGGTTAGTTACCGTGTTTGATCCTCATGTTCCTGACCCTGGAAGTTGGAGCCAAATGACCACATCAGGCACACTGCAGATGGACTTTGAGCCTTGGCGGATAGGTTGAACTCTGTGTCTCTTTGACTTTAGAATTCCGTGATCTTTTTGTGTGCATCTGGCACTACTTCCCTCTGCTGCTACACAGAGCTTGGTCCTGGATTTTAGGTTTGTTTATGTTTGGTTTTTTGTTTGACTCCTTTGTGACTCTCATTATTATCATTATATCTGACTCAAAAGTCCTCTAAATGTGTTGCTCCCAATGTTGAAAACCTGGGCACAACACCCATGTCCATATAGTTAGCTAATATTTACAGTCTATAGGAGAAGAGTGCATAGGTGGGCACCCTAGGGCTCGGGTGGGGGTAGGGGCCAGAAGTAGGCAGGGGCTCAGGACCGCCGTCCAGGAAATCAGGGTCAGGAACACCTTGG